TCAAGCTCACAAGCTGCTCCTTGGAAACCCTCTACAGGGTTGCTATGGGTCAGAATCGACTCAATGGCACTTAATAACAACAGCAACAACAACCAACAATGCCCTAGCTGCTCATTAAAGAGATGTAAGCCAATCCCTTGATGCATAAGTAGAATAAATACCCCATGCAGATGTCCCAGCAAAATGGTGGCAGTTGGATTATATAGGACCCCTCTCCAACTTGGACAACTGCCAGTATGCTCTGACATGTGTGGATACTGTCACTGGGCTTCGACAAGCATACCACTGCTTGTAAAGCAACTCAGAGCTCTACCATTTAAGGTCTTTCCCAATTCTGCACTTCTTAAGGCACCCACTCCCCCTACTGACGTTGACAGTGATAGGGGGATCCACTTTATAGGACACAATGTCCAGGAATGAGAAGATGGCCTGGGCATTGTTTGGAACTCTCAGCTCCCATACAACCCAACTATGGCCGAACTGGTAGGGCAAACGGATGGGATTCTGAAGTTAACTCTGGGGCATGACACCCACTCATTGCGCCGGTGGACCCACCATCGGTCAGAAGCTCTGTGATGCATCAGTGAATATCAGCAGTAGACTCTGACCCAGTGACCACAGAAAGCCATGAGGATTCAGGTCTCTTTGCTGGACAACTGTCCTTTACCAGTGTCTGGGGATTCCAACAATATCTTGTTAATATTGCCGCAGGACTTAATTTCCTCTGTTTTTCTCCCCTGGAAATGGCAAATGAGTCCCCAGTGGTTTAGTATTTTAGACCCTTGGGGACTAGGGCTAGACTTATGCTTACAAGTGGCACCTTGGTTCCACCCTATGCCACCAAAAACCTCATATCTGTGTTGGTACCTCTCACCTCTTTGTCATTTTGTCTTTAGTGACTACAGTAACATCTTTGTCAGCTGGGTCACCATGATTGCCAATGTAAAGAATCAATCAGATTGCTGGGTGTGTGGGGAACACTCTACCTCTTGCCATGGAAGATTGAACCTGTGAACAGCAGTGCCTGGGGCTTCACGGCATCTGGCCCTCTTCTCAGTAGCGATGATTCTTTGCTTGGAATAGTACTGTGTTGTGGTATATATTGTTGCTGTGACCTTGGTTACAACTCTTCAATGCCCAGCTCTGAGGGATTGTGCAGAAGATTGGCAGTAACCTTGTAAGGACCATTTAGGGGTGTTCGAATGGGGTGTAGGGGCAGAAGTTGGATATCCCCAAAATGGTCACTTTTACATGTATGTATTGCCACTTTGCCTTTTTACCCACTGACCCCACCACCCCCATATTATCTGTTGCTATGCCAGCCAGAATACCCTGTCTGCATGATCTCATATGCCCTTTCCCTCCTAAGCTAGACACCACCCACACAGATGGATGCACAAGACTTTGTTTACTCTTTAGTATAAAATGGTTACAGTCTGCTCCCTTGCTGCAGAATCTTGCCTGTCCAGCCGGCCACTACCAGGAACATTCCTGATGTCTCTGATCAGTACATTTCCCCTTGAAATAAACTAATATGTGTGGGACTGTCTCCTGGTCAGTTTTTGGGTCTCTTGGAAAATAATCACACAGAAGGATTTTCCCTTCAGGGTTTGAACCTAAGCAGAGTGGGTTTTGTTATGCATATGTTTACCAAAAATCAAAGAAAAAGAAAATGGGTCCTTCACAGAATGATTTTACAAATTATAATGCCCGAATGCTTTGGTTGTCATCACTGTGCCCTGTGCCACTGGCTTCATGTCCAGTCACTCTACATCCAGCTTCACCAGCTGAGGTCCCTAAAGGCCCTGCACACAGTGATATGCTTGATGCAACCCAGGTTCCTCTTCTTCCCAATATGCCTGAGCTTTTGCCATATTCTTGCTTCTGAGACCATTCCCATATCTCCTCACCAGCTTTCCAAGTTATAGCTCACAATCCCATGGTCTCTCTAAGCACTAGGCCTTTCCAGGAAGCAGAAGCCAATCCTGAGGATATTCAACCCACTTGTGGAGTGAGGCTAGGTTCTTAGCTCTGACTCCTGTCCCTACAACTCAGCTTCCTCTTATCATGCCCTTCTTACACTATACCTTTGCATCCATCCCCTACCCCAACTTTCCATAACTCCCAACATTCAGCATTCAAGGCCTCCTTCCAGTCCTATACCTCAGTGACCTTCAGTGCCTATACCTTTGCCCAACTGGCTGCCTACAGCCTTCCTCATGACCTTCACTTGGCTGCTTTCACTTCTCACAGTGTTCTACTTCCATTGTTTAGCAAGTCTGCTTGTTGTTGTTGTTAGGTGCCATTGAGTAGGTACTGACTCATAGCGACCCTATGCACAACAGAATGAAACACTGCCAGGTCCTGGGCCAACCTCACAATCATTGCTACACTTGAGCCCATTGATGCTGCCACTTTGCCAATCCATCTCGCTGGAGGTCTTCCTCTTTCTCTCTGACCCTCCACCTTACCAAACATGATATCCTTCTCCAGCAACAGATCCCTCCTGACAATATGCCTGAAGTATGAGAGATGAAATTTTGCCATCCTGGCCTCCGAGGAGCACTCTGGCTGCACTTCTTCCAACACAGATTGGTTGGTTCTTTTGGCAGTTCGTGGTATTTTCAACATTCCCCTCCAACACCATAATGAGCTAGCCAATCATTAAAGACCAGCCTAAATACCATCTCTTCCAAGAAGCAAACACAGTGAGGTGGGGCCAGGGAGTCATCCCAGGGTGTGAAAGAGGAGTGGGCCCTTCTGGGGATGAGGATACATATGGGGTTGCCTCCTCAAGCAGTAATGACAGAGTTTCATTCCATGTAGACTAGCCTGGGACAGGGATGGCCTGCTGTTGATCTCTGACTGTCACCATTGTAGAGTTGCAGAGACTGTCCAGATAACTTTGTAGAGAATGAAAAGCATAACATCACTACCTACAAACAGATCATGTGAACTGAGGAACCTCTTAGGGCCAACCATCAAAGTCTGACACTTATATGTTATTACAGAAAGTTCCCACCAGTCAGGTAGTGGGCTGCATCCCAGAGGTCAATAGTATAATCTTCAGGAGAAGAGCAACATATCTTGAAATTGAATTTCCCACTCTTCAGGCAGATGGGTACTCAGAGCAGGAGTTAAATCAAATTATAAAAGTGCAGAAATGTGATGTTTCTTAGAACCAAAGGCAATGAAAATTCATGGAATTGTCTTCATGATTTATTAAAGTCAAATAATCATTGCTTAATGGGAACACATTGAATCTTGCTTTGTAACTTGCTTCATGTGACAATCCAAAATATCTAACTCTCTGAGCTTCCATGTCCACATCTAAAATACTGGAAAATAATATGGGTCCCATAGCATTGGAGACTAAATAATATTGAGTAAGATGCATAAGAAGTGTTTGGAAAAGCTTGCTATGTATATACTCAATAAATAGTCTGGTTATAATAGTAGCTGTGGTAGTAATTTTGGCAGTAAGAGTGATGGTAATAATTGTAACAGCAATAACTATTTTATCCCCATTGCACAGATGAGTAAATAAACTTAGGAAAAACAAACGTCCCCAAGAGTGACAGGACTTGATTCATGGATGATTCTAACGAAATACCTTAGTACACAAATGAAGTGAGGAACCAGAGCTAGGATAAGTGGTGTGAAGCCTTCGCTGAGGTCTGAAGAGATGCTGACCCACATCCATCAGTAGGAAGCTAATTGGATTATGTCTCAGGGGTTTGTCATGGAGATGAAGACTTTCTTAGATCAAGGGGCTGAGGGAGCACCCCAGACTTAAGGGAGTGGACTCTGCATGCCATTCCCTAGGGGGTTGGAATCTACCATGTTAAGGCCCCTACCATGTTAAGATCTTATGAAGAACTTGAACAGGTGTGCTCCCAGAAATCCAGGGTGTCAGGCAGTTCCACATATGTTCTTGTTATTGGGGGCTATCAAGGCAGTTCTGATTCATAGTGACCCTGTACATAATAGAAGAAAACATTACCTAACCCTTTGCCACGTTCACAATCATTTCTGTGTTTGGACCCATTGTTGCAGTCACTGTGCTAATCTTTCTTGCTGAGGGTCTTCCCCTTTTTTGTTGACCCTCTACTTTACCCAATATGATGTCCTTCTCCAAGGACTGGCCTATCCTGATAACGTGTCCTTACCCAACCCTATATGATAGCATATAACTGCTTCTTAGGTTTCTAAGACAGTAAATCTTTATGGGAGCATCGTATCTTTCTTTTGTGGAGTGACTAGTGAGTTTGAACTGCTAACCTTGTGGCTACCAGCCCATCACTTAGCCCACAATGCCACCACATATCCTTGTTGTTGTTAAGTGCCGTGGAGTTGACTCCAACTCATAGCGACCCTGAACAGGGTTTCCGAGGCTGCAAATCTTTATGGGAGCAGAAAGCCTCATCTTTCTCCCACGTAACAGCTGGTGGCTTCGAACTGCTGACCTTGAGGTTAGCAGCCCGATTCATAACCACTACACTACCAGAGCTCCTTCCTTAGCTCAACACATTTGGGAAAGTTTAGTAGTCTTCCAGTCTCTATCATTATGCTTGCTTAGCACTGTTAAACCTTGGCGGGGTTGGGTAGGCAGTGGGTTGCAGAGAAAGAGTTGAGGGACTGACCCTCAGGGTGATTTTGCTGGACGCTTCCACCCCAGGATCTCTCTGTTGCCATCTATAATGAAGAAAGTAGACAAGATGAGGAAGAGGGACGTTCCTACACCATGTTAGGAATGGCTTCTAGAAGGCAGTGCAGAAAAGGGGTCAGAGGAAGCCCACAAGATCAGCAAGCAGTGTCAAGACTGATTATTGATGATGGGAGGATTCTGGGTCAATCCAGGAAAAGAGGAGGCCATGGATGTCTCTGACTTTAATAGCCACAAATCCATTTTGTTGAGATAAGTTAGAGCCTCCTATAGACCAGGTGGGGGTTGAAAGGGATGGTAGGACCCCACCTCGCCTGTGGCCTTAGAGGCCTGCTCAAAACTCACAGATGGTCAGTCGGTATTGCAGACAGTTTTTGTCATTCCACCGTCCATCTGTGTACATCTCCACACACCTCTCCTTGCCATAGCCCCTGGGCTCCCCTGGGTACCAGTTCGTGTAGTTCACAGGATCATTGTCCAGGTAGTAGAACTCCCCAGTGGTGGGGCCCTCAGCCAGGCCCAGGTAGGCATAAGTGTTGTGCTTCTTCACAATGCTGGCAATTGCTGCGTTCTCCTCTGGGCTCCTTGGGACAGCTATGCGACCACCTGCCCTGGCACATGTCTCTTGAATGGCATCAAAATTGACTGACTGTCCATTGGTGGAGAAGACCTTCTCTCCCACTCTCAGCATGGATCCCTGCAGGCTGAGGACTAAGAGCAAGAGTTCCAAGTCATACTGCTGGCTGCTGCCTCTAAATCCTGTCTCCCCCTGCTCTGTCTGCTTGCTCTCCAATCTTCTCACTTCTGCCTCTCTGTACCTTTCCCCTCTCGTCTAATCCTAGTCTTTCAAACTTCCCCTCTCTGCTCTCATTCATTTGTTTGCTAATTTATTAAATCATTTAACAATTATGAGGGGGCTTCAAAAATGTCCTTGAAAAAATTCCATGTTTTTAAATTTTCATTTTTCCTATGAATTTTAAAAATTATTTTTATTATTGTCAAACTTATGTGTTACAAATCCTGGTTAAATGATGATATATTGTAGGAACGTATATTGTAGGAATGTTAAACGAAGCATGGCCAATTGTAGCAACTGGAAATCTCTATTTCATCTAAAATTATTATGATTATCCCACAAAGTTTTGAAACCCCCTTGTACTTATTGATGGTCTGCTATATGCCTTGGGAATTCACAAGAAAGCTATATAGGGAGGCTCAGGGAGCCTACGCTTCCCAGGACTTCAGAAGTCATATCTACCCCATCTCACTCTGGACCCATCAGAGACATCAGAAAAGAGAAGCATCGTTCTTTCCCTAAGACCTGCATGTCCATATCTATTTGTCAGATCACTAGGTTCTGGAGGCAGATCGAGGATGTGGAGAATTGTGGGATAGCTCCCTACCTTGTAAGGCTCCAAGAGATCTCCTTACCTCCCACTGACTGCAGAATTTGATGTCTGATGTCGTGGAGTGTGCCTTGGAGCTCCTCGTCTAGATAAGCTGGAAAACCTGCAAAGACCCCACCCAGGGTGAGGGGCAAACCAACAAGGGCTCCCATGGGTGCTGTCCTAGCTGCAGGGCTGGCACCGACCCTCTAACTGTCCATCTTACTTCCTGGACCTCAAGTTATAATTCCATGAACCTGGAGTGCTCCTATACTTCACCCATACTCACCCTTTCATGCAGTTTTGTGCCTGTGGAACCCCCTCTTTGCTCTTTCCTTGAACCATCCTTAATTAAATGACTGTCCACCTAAGGGGGCTATTCCCAGGTTCTGTGCAGGACCCTTCTCCACCCTCATCAAGGCTAGGTGTGGTACTTTTTACATCCCTTGATGGACCTTGATTACTACTCAGAATGTTGGCGTTGCTGTTGTTATTTCTGTTAAGTGCCTTTGAGTCATTTCTAACTCATAACAACCCTGTACAGGGTTGCTGAGGAGTTACTGGTGAATTTGAGCTGTCAGCCTTATAGTCCAAACCAACCTTGCGTAGCCTATAGCACCACATTTGGGCTCCCAAGCAGACCATAGATTTGAACTCCAAATCCATGCAAATCTGCACTCATTTCAGAATACTTCCAGCATGTCAACCCTAGAAAATGCTACATCTCTTCTCATGCATATCCCTCATGTCTCCCCACAGCAACCATGATGTGCAGAGCACTTCCTGCACCCAAAAATCGGTACCTGAATTTTGGCCATTCTCCCCAGACACCTCTGAGTCCTTGTCTAACCTTATCTCCTTTTACTTGGATGACCTGTTCTTTGGGACCTCCTATTGACCTTTGGATGGCTGTGGTTTTGGTTGAACCCCATAATGGATTTTGAGTAGCCACATAACAGACTGCCTGGACACTCTACCAGTGATATCAGTTCACGCCTGTTGCTCTCCCCAACCCTGCTCACCTGGAAGGCCCCTTTCTCCAGGCTCTCCTTTGTCTCCACGCTCTCCAGCAATACCAGGGGCTCCGGTCAGTCCATCACGCCCAGGAAGGCCTGGCATTCCTCCAGGGGGACCCATGGGACCTGCAGAGAGGAGAGGTCCCAACTGTATGGGATGTTCCCCCTACAGCTGGGTTGGGATTGTTGCAAATAAACCTTTTTCTCTGGGTTGACTCACCTGTTGTCTCTTGGGCATTTTGATGACAGACCTTTCAAAGCTATCCCAATCTAAGGGCCCCATGTCCCACCACTTAGGCCACCCTGTTTAGGATCCAGTTTAGAGCCCAAAGCCCAGAGCCCTGGATGAAGGGGCGTCCTGAAGATGGACACTGTTCTTCAGTTGAGGAAGATCTTTCTAGTGGTACCTGGAGGTCCAGGGTCTCCTTTGATACCATCTCTCCCATCTCTGCCTGGAAGGCCATGGGATCCAGGTGCTCCAGGGATACCAGGACTGCCAACACAAAACTCATTCTCATCAGTAGTGACACCCGACACTGCCAACAAGATGGGGGTGAAGGCCAGCGTGCACAGCCACATGGCTCCGGTTCTACAGCTTGTTCTGCAAAAGGAAAAGCCATTGGCTCATTTGAAGCACTTGTCAAGATCAGCTCATGCCTGCCGTGCTCTGTCAGGATGCAGGCATCTGACAGCCCCAGAGAGAAGCTTGGGAAGATCCAGAATGTTCACAGAAATTTTTAACATCATCTGGTTTCTGGAAAGCCATCATGCCTCTTGCACACCACTGTTAGAATCTTGCACTGTGACCTTGAAGAACTCACTTCACCACTCCTGACTTCAGCTGAATCTTCCACGCCACAGAGACATTGTTAACCCATGCCCTACCCCGCAAGCTGTTGGGAGGAGGAATATAGTTACTCACTAATGGACTTTGTCCCTCAGGGATCAAGGTCCTGAGGGTAAATGGGGACAACTCAGGCTCAAGACCTGGAACCTGCCAATGGTGGGAAGTCCTTTTCCCCTGATGGGATGACTCCTTCTTCTTGGGGGGCTATCTCCTCATTACCCCCTGCAGGCCTTGGTAAGTTTCTGCAAGAGTAGACCTGGTCTAGGCGCATTGTAGGGCATGAGGGTTTTATCAAGGCCATCTCGCTGCACCCACAGCTATGATTCAGTGGGCTTTGGGGAGCCCATTCCTTCTTCCCTTGGTTCTAAGTCAAATATATGACTATTGGGATGGTTGGCATTGCCTGTAGCTTTGGGCTCTAGGAAGGACCCAGGGTGAGAATGATGCAGGGGCAGGGCCAAACTCACCTACACAGACAACCTCCAGGCCTCAGAATCAGAATGGAGGGGTGGGTAGCACCATTTATAGGGACATGGGACCGTCACTTCCCTCTCCACTCTGAAGAGGCCCTGGTCACAAGGGTTTCTACTTCAGGGAGGGTGAGGCAGGAAGTACTGTCTAGTTTACATAGCCCATTTCCTCACAGGGCACTCAGCTGGAGCAGCACTTAGGACTCTGGATGAGAGCTTAGGACCTGACAGGTTGGAGGTCACCCACCCTCCCACAGCCCTGGGTCCAGAACTGTGGAAAATAAGGTCCCTTATATGTACACAGATAAGAGCACATCCCCAACAGGACTTTCTCTCCTGAGCCTCTGTGTCCTCCTCCTGGATGATGACACACCCACAGTCCCAGGATCACCAAATCCCCAGTGCCCACCAGCAAAGAGAATACACCAATAACCAGACTCTTTTCCAAGAGAGCAAAGAGGGAGAACAGGGACACACAAGAATGTCTCCATGTGACTTTTTCTTAGGGCCCTTCTAGCTCCAGTACCACTTTAGCTCCTTGAAGGGTTCATTTGATTCCTGGTTTGGTTCCGGAAATTGTAGAGCCAAGGGAGGTCAATCTGCCTTGTAGTATTACTGGACCCCAAGGCCTACTGGCTCCTGCCCATGGAGCCTAGAGCTGAATTGGTGGGCACCTGGGCAGTCACAGCTGATTGCTCCATTTCCTCTTCCCTGCAGGGTTAGCCATTTTGAGGCAAGGCAATGCCAGGAAGGTCACAGGAGAGCAGCAGCTTCTGTCTTTGGCCATGGGTGATGTCTGATACTCTGATAGTAGATGGTGAATTTATAAAGTGGTGGGATAATATAGGAATCCCTAATTGATTTCTAAGGTGCTCTGGTAGCGTAGTGGTTACGAATTGGGCTGTGAGCCCCATGGTCAGCAGTTCGAAACTATCAGCTGCTCCACAGGAAAAAGATAAGGCTTTCTGTTCCCGTAAAGATTTACAGTCTTGGAAACCCTGCTCAGGGTCGCTATGGGTCGGAACTGACTAGACGGCACTTAATAACAACAACAATTGATTATTATCTCTATTTAAGCTTCTAAGGAGCTCTTGTAGCATGGTGGTTATGAGTCAGGCTGCTAATCTCAAAGTCAGCGGCTCAAAACTACCAACCGTTCTGCAAGAGAAAGATGAGGCTTTCTGCTCCCATAAAGATTTACTGCCTTGGAAACCCAGTACAGGGTCTCTATGAGTCAGAACTGACTCCACGGCATATAACCACAGCCACCACCACCACCACCATTCAAGCTTCTAGGTTATGAAGGAATCACTAATTGTAGGAACGGTAACAGGGGGATCAAGATATAGAAATATCTCTATGTTTACTTGCAAATGGTTGGCAATTGTACTTCCAATTTTGAGGGAGGGTAAGAGGAATTGACTGGATAGCACTTGGCTACAATAAGAAGAGATCTTTTTGGGAACTGGAGCTCAGCTAAAAGGACCGCATATTTGTTGGAGTAAGAAACCATCCAATTCCTACTTGGAGTGTGCTTTTAGCTGTCCGACTGTCTAACCCAAGGAGCTCTGGTACTGTAGTAGTTACGAATTGGACTGCAAACTGCAAGGTCAGCAGTTCGAAACTACCAGCTGCTCCGCGGGAGAAAGATGAGGCTTTCTGCTCCCGTAAAGATTTACAGCCTCAGAAACCCTGTTCAGGGTCACTATGGGTCAGAACTGAGTCGACAGCACTTAACAATAACAACAACAACAACTGTCTAACCCGGGTCCCCACCCAGTACAGGATTGGGGTTGGCAGGAATGAAGCTCCATCGGAGGACTTCCTCTAGGCTGCATGTATGTGTGGGTACACAACCTATATGTGTGTGTTGAGGTGATGACAGGCAGTGGAATAGGAATAGAGGCCTGCTTGGCAGCTTTGAAGGGTCTAGGCCAGGGGAAGGCAGTTGGACTATCCAAGACCATATGTTAAGTAGGGGGAAGGTGTAGACCTAGGCATCAGAGGGATCAGAGTTCCAATTTGGGGATACTACACAGTACATAAAATATTTTGAGCCTTGGTTTTCATTTTTATTATCATTATCTTGAAGCAATATGAAATTTACATTTTAAAGTTGTAGATGCCATACAAATTATTCCTAAAACTACAAATGTAGATTGCTATAGATTATCTCATTACCAACAAATGCTTTAGTATATATTTTATACAAGGATATTTTTCTATAGAACCATCAAAATAAAGAAACTAGAGCTCCAAGCTGGTGCAAATCGTTAAGGTACTTGGTTACTAACTAAAAGGTTGGAGGTTAGTGTCTACATAGAAGCACCTCAGAAGAAAGACGCAATGATCTACTTCTGAAAACCCAGCTTTTGGAAACTCTAGGGTGTGCAGTTCTACTGATAAACATATGGGGTTGCCAAGAGTTGTTGTTGACTCAATGGAAACTATTGGTAATTAATGGTGGTAGTATCAAATAAACAACAAAATCTACACAAAACTTGCCAAATATCCAGTTTAGAATGGCTTGTTTCCATATAGCTGTCATTTTCAATCTTGCAATTCGAAACAGTTCCTCAGGCTCTCTGTAACTTCCAAGACCTGAACACTTTTGGAGGTGGCAAGTTAGTGACTGCATGGAATGCCTCTCAATTAATTAAGAAAGGTGTGTGACAAGGTTGTATTCTTTTACCATACTTATTCAAGCTGTATGCTGAGCAAATAATCCAAGAAGCTGGATTCTATGAAGAAAAACGTGGCATCAGGATTGG